ATCTAAATTAGTATGATGTCTATTGGATATACATATGTTTGTTAGTTTTTTGTGGAGCAATTTTTGCATAAATGTATAGCCATGAATCTGGCTAAAGCTTGAGAAGAGAGTGATTGCAGTACACAAACCGGATGACCAACCTTGATAAACGTTTGAAAGCTCTAGTTTAGTTTTGGTGAATTGATAAAACCCTAAGTGCTAACCTAGTTTATCAAGTGATCATGAGATAGGTAGCACACTCCAAGTGATGAAGCAAATGAAGATCATAGCATGATGATGATGATACCATGATGATGATCAAGTGCTTGGACTTGGAAAGAAGAAAGAGAAAAACAAAAAGGTCAAGGCAAAGGTATAAACCATATGAGCTATTTTGTTTTGGTGATCAAGACACTTAGAGAGTGTGATCACATTTAGGATTGATAGCCGTACTATTAAGAGGGGTGAAACTCGTATCGGAATGCGGTTATCAAAGTGCCACTAGATGCTCTAACTCATTGCATATGCATTTAGGATCTAGTGGAGTGCTAACACCCTTGAAAATGTTTGTGAAAATATGCTAACACTTGTGCACAAGGTGATACACTTGGTGGTGTTGGCACATTTATAAATGAGGTGGTGTTTGTAGGTGATACACTTGGTGTGTGCACAAGTTGATACAAGATCTTTAGTGTAATTAGAATTGAGAGCTTGCTTTATTATTTACATTCATCTAGTTGAGCTCTTTAGAGTAGCAAGATTAAGAGCTCTTAGTGGGTAATTACATAGCAAGTTTGTGTGCCTAAGTAATCATTGCAACTAGAGTTGTTGGATAGGTGGCTTGCAACCCTTGTAGAGCTAGAGTAAGTTTGCATTACGCTATTTGTCATACTAATCAAATTGCTCTAGTTGATTTGTAGATTCTTAAATAGGCTATTCACCCCCCCTCTAGCCATATTAGGACCTTTCAACGTTCCTTTGCCATTTGATGAGAGGGATTACTCACGTACCAGATTTTGCCCAATGTACCCCTATAGAATTTGATCTGACATCCATCAAGTAAATAAATCCATGATTTTGCCCAATGACACGGATCAGCTCACCTCTCATATGACTACCTTTTCTTTGCATACTTTAATACATGATTAATTTGTTTAGAACAATCCAGAATAAATGCAGTATTTAACCTCTAGATGGCATACATTCTGTGGTATCAGCTGGTATGCATTCTATGGAAGATGCAGCTTCTAAAGTCAATAAAGGCACATAAAATTTAAGAAGCCAGTAAATGATAAGGAATAGGGTTACTTCATTGCCCATTACAGTTTTAAAGCTACAAAACACAGTTTCATCGATATAGATGAGATACTGCTGGTTTCCAACCTTAACCTTTCACCATAGGGCAAGAGTTAACCTTTTTCTAACCTAAGATATAGCATTACCCTTTTTCCATCATTACAGTTTCAGAGCTACAAAACCCAGTTTCATCGATATATCAGGTTGTATAATTTGCTTAAGGAAGCAACTTTTACATTTTCAGTACAGGTCTTAGACACCACATGCTCATAAGCTTGCTGCTAATAGGTCAAGAAGACTGTATGAGTTAATATCAATCTGTCCCTACAAGGCTACAACAGAATAATTCTTTTGCTTCCCAAAGTCCTCTAATAACAAAAAAAATCAATGGGAAATTCACAAGATCTTTTTAGATGAGAGGAAAATCAAAGATGAAATTTGGATAAAAAAAACACACAGATCAGCTCACCTTTCATATTACTACCTTTTCTTTGCATACTCTAATACATGATTAATTTGCTTAGAACAATCCAGAATAAATGCAGTATTAACCTCTAGATGGCATACATTATGTGGTATCAACTGGTATGCATTCTATGGAAGATGTAGCTTCTGAAGTCAATAAAGGCACGTAAAATTTAAGAAGGCAGTAAATGATAAGGAATCAGCTGTTACTAAAATTGTTAGTTTATTGAGGAATATATATTGTGTACTGTGAAAGATCTTATCTTTTACCAAACTAAGTTTCTTCACATGATCCATGTATGTTTCTGTGTAAAGCTGTGTAGAGCCGACGGCTTACATTGTTGACGTGCAAGGCCCTGATGATGTTGATGGTGAATTGATGATGAAGGTCTCGCTGCTGAGGGTTTCATCATCGCAAGAGAGGCCCCATCCCAATCCTGCCTAAATCGACAGGAAAATAGGTCCGATTAGCGATTCAGGTGGATAGCCTCAAGCCCACAACTACCATACTTGACTAATTAAAGTTGCAAAATTAATTTTATAAGTAATTAAAAGATGCATTTGCCGTTTTGCATTCACAAGCATAAGCTGTAGAAATGCACAGGATTACAATCTCTCTCTAGTATTTCAATCCGAGGAGCAGGCAGCTAGCTAGGTGTATTTCTCGGAGCTCCATATTTCTCTAATCTCTGGTACGTACTTCTCAGCTAGGTACTTATGTACTTCCATTCTCTACTCAATATATGCACAAATACACATGATTCAAATCAGAAAAGACCAAGTCAATCTCATTAGTACCTTTGTTGCCCGGGATCTCCTCTGTCTCATGAAAAAGGGAGGAGCGACGCCGACGCGCGAGCCAGTTGCCACCGGAACATGACTCGCCTTCCACTCCGTAGCTCCACTATCCGGCGAGATCCAGTGCTGCCTCAACGCATTCCACGTCGACGAAGGGAGGAAAGCAGGGATGACGTACGGACGCGTAGGAGGTAGAGGGAGGGGAAGCGGATGTGCTGCTGCCTACGGGGGCTGAAGTGGAGGCGGGGAGTGGCGGCCGCAGGTACGGTGTCAAGGGTCACCTCCGCCTCCGGCGCGGGTGCAAGCCACGATGCAGCCGTGGGCGTCGGGGTGGTGCGGGTGGCGGCGTGGACCTTCAGGATGGGCACCGGCGGCGGCAGATCTAGTGCGGGACCTGCCTACATGGGGATGAGGGAGGGGGGGCGCTCGCGCCGGCACGCCCGCCCGCGGGGGTGCCGTCGCCTATGCCCGCCGCCGCCTCATCCACGGCGCTTCTTCCCTTCCTGGCCGACCTTCTCTACCCCAGCTACGTCGTCTCCAACCGAGCGTTGACCGGATCCGGCCTGGCTGCACCGCGCCCCGACGAGCGCCTGAGAAATCGGCGGTCCCCGGTGACCTTCTCCGCCTCAGCCACGTCGTCCGCCGCGCCTGGTCCAGGCCGTCCCCTCGCACCGATGCGGTGGTCGATGCGCACGGCGAGGGGCACGACCGCATGGTGGAGAGGGATCTCGCGAGGGTGAGAGAGCGATTGGAGGCGTGACTTATGCGAGCGATGAGGTAGAATTTTTTTTCACACGGACGAAGGCAGAGTGACGAAGCGAGCGAGGTATCACACGGGCGTGGGCAGACGAACGAACCAAACAAATGTCGCACCAAAAAATGTCCACGCTTTGTTATTTTTAGTTGTAGGACTAGGAATATAGATTTTGATAAAAAGTATTCTCCAACAACTTTTTTATTTGGTTATCCAAATACAGTTATCTTTTATTCCGGATGTCTCGTCAGCCAAAGATAGAAAATACGAGAATTAACGAAAGATAGAAAATACGAGAATGACTCTTTAGAGTGCACACAAGATATAGAAAAACCGTTAGAGAGTGAAAATATATAGAAAAACGATCTTTATGCAAATAGCTCTCCAAAATCCAAGTAATGATTTAGAGAGTGAGCTTTAGAAAGAATCTTGAAGATGTTCTAAATTTGTACATATCATATATTAATTAAAAAAATAAGTAGGGGGCGTCCCCTTCTGACCCATTCAAAAATACAGTCCTGTAGGGTATGGCTGTATCATGATATGATGTGTACTCCGTACATCTGATCAACATCTCTGCTCAACTCATTCACAAGCTATCTAGATACGCAGGCCGAGATGACCTTTTGTGCGAGCCAAGGGTCACCACAAGCCAACAACGCCCACAAAAATACCCCTGCTACCCTTCCGATATATATAATATAAAATTAAATTAGTGAGAACAGTTATATGTTAAATGTTATGCTACCCCGCTATCACCGCCTCACAAGCCACAATAAAAGATTGTCAGGTCAACTCTGCAGCAGAAAATATACAACGGACTACAATCGGCTACCTTCACAGTAGCAGCCATCGTAGAAACAACAACAACGGAAAAAAAAACTGTGAGTCCTGAGCTACGCTAGAGTTGAAATCCATCAAAAAACCAACGGAAAAAAAAACTGTGAGTCCTGAGCTACGCTACGTTGAAATCCATCAAAAATCCTTAGTCATGGTTTAGATACATCAATATCGGCTTTCCAACCACTCCTATTTAAACATAGATCTCTAGATATATTCCAAACTTTCAAATATTTTTTATTGTCTCCCCATGTCAATTTCGGTCTACTTCTAACTCTTCTCACATTATTAGTTTATCTTAGGACTCCACGATACACTGGTGCCTCTGAAAATGTCCTTTAAACATGATCAAATCACCTCAACCGATGTTAGACAAGCTTTTCTTCGATTAGTGCTATCCCTAGACGGTCACGTATATCATCATTCTTAACTCGGTCCATTCTTGTGTGACCATAAATCCATCGCAACGTACGCATTTCAGTTATTGAACATGACAGCCAACATAACGGTGAAATAAAATTCACTCACACCATGCCCCCATCATATCATATGCATACATGAGCGAACCCCAAGTAAGACGGTTATACGGTGGGTATAGTAGTTGATCGCACTAGACAAGGAAACCAGCGGAGGTTCCATGAGATGACCAAAAGAAAAGCAATCACACTAAACTCATATATTTACATACCCAAAAGGAGTTTTGGAATTTACATAGCCACCAAACATATTTGCGTTTGCATAAACATCCTCAATCCTTGGACCATTGCTCCAGTTTTACCCTATGGATTGTCTTCATTTTGAGCTGATTCTCAAGCGATATATAATAGTATGGATTCAGGACGCTGATGGGATCACAGACTGATTACATTCAGCTTGCACGGGCATGCCCATGGATACCGTGACTTGGGTGGTTGCCAGCAACAAGAATGTCCTTGAAACGGTTTAATGGACCAACAGCATCATTGATTTTCTGAAACACAAACAAGAGTCTGCATTCATTAGCATTTGCAGGCGCCATATATAATTGAAAAAAGAAAAAGTAAAACAAATAGCTACCACGGCACAAAACACTAGCATGCTAGTAAACAGATACACTAGCTTGCTAGTAAACAGATAAGGCAGGACTTCAGACAATCCACATATTTCGAAATTCTGGAGCTGTAGCATGCAGGATGCCCGTTCATAGCGAAATTCTCATTGCTGGCAAGTGCAACTTAAAAAGCATGCTCGTCAGGATATGAATATATGATGCGACAACAAGAAACAATATCAGAAAATACAGAAGAAAACCAACAAGCTGGTTTGACGCAGCTGTAGGATGGCAGAACAACAGTACCAACAGAAGCTCAACCCTCACACCACAGCAAACTATTAGAATAGTTATATAACCCATGGACATCGAATTCAACTGGACATACTCCACAGCTACTTACTCCTCGCCAGAAATTCAGCATCTACACTCATATGAACTGAGCCTATTTTGCAAACAGATATCGGAATTTAAGTTGATAATTAATTAATTATATGCTCATATCAAGTATGTTGCGAGTACTTGGTTATAAGATCAGTAACTATGATAGAAATAATCAGACAAGTATCAACATAATGCTATTGTGGCAATTTTCCTTTGTAATGTATTTTCCGAACATTTTCATGGCAGCAAATTATAGTCACTAGGGTGCTCCTATGGCATGATTGACACATGCTTCCTGCTGCTATAAAGAAAAGGTGAGTTTTTAAATTACCTCCTTGTTGCTAGAAGATGGTATTTTGACTGGCTGAAACTGCAGCTTTCCCTTTTGCCAGCGCCGCCCAAAATATGCCAGGCCCACCAAAGCAGCAGCGGTCGCGACGATAGGCCAGAAATTATGACTTTCCTTCGCGGTCTTGTACAGAGACAAAATCTGCTTCTTCCACCATGCTTCACGTGGGCCTGAACCAGCAGGTTCACTCTGCTCATCAGATGAAACAACCTTTGATGAACCGGTTATGGGGTTCAAGTTATGCAGAGTAGGCTCCTCAGTTTTCTTCTCATTCCTACTCTCTGTAGCTGACCAACTTAACTCATTTTCAGCCTTAATTGAGCTGTAAATAGACGACGAGAACCCAACCGGTTCTTCCCCGACCAAACTCATGCCTTTCAATGCTTTGCCATCATCAAATGCCATATCACCCAAGGAAACATCCTTCCCTTTGTCGAAGGATGGAATGCTGGGGACGTCATCCTCCAGCTTATGCTTGCGGGTTCCTTGGTATTTCTCACCATCGCCCTCGTTGGAAACTGCATCTGGGTTGCAAAGCTCCTTGGGAGGTTCTTTGCTTTCAGCGCCTACAAGGAGGCTCTCAACTTCACTCTGAGCCACCGAGAAGTGGCCAGACATGAGTAGCCCAGTGGCTAAATCATCCCCTTTTGCGCCATATTTCTTAGCTTCGGCTTCCTCGGAAGGTTCAGGTCTCTTCGGAGCAGGCGCGGCAGCGTATGCTGATGCAGTCAGTTGCACGACTTCCCAATCATTCCCGCGTGGAGAGGTCTGCTCAGTACCGCTCTGGCCAGGCTCCATCTTCCCTGTGATTATTAAAGCGGTGAAGCTACAGAAGGTTAGAATGAATGCATAAAATTAATTTAGGTCATAGAATGGAACATGCACAGCCTCAGCAGTACAGTGCAGTACAGACATCAGTGAAATCATTGTGTGATGGGGGGGCTGCTCAATATCTTGGCTGTGATATGGTACGCAGGGTTTTACTTGAGAATTAGAACTCCAATTTAGGCTGGTGATTTGTCACGACTCACAAGTGGTTAAACAACCCTAGGAAACTGCAGAGTTAATTATTAATTAATTAAAGAGTGATAACAATAGAAAGGAAACCACAGGACAGATGGAATCCAGTCACTTGTCCGACAAATAAAATAATGGCGGTGCCTGTGCAGTTGGATCAGGCATCCTCATGTTTCATGTACCAATCAAGGCAAGGGAAAAGAAACGCTCTAGACTTGTCACTAGAACCGGCGGTACTGTACTACCGAGTGCTGAATCGTGGTACGAGCAAAGGGCGAATGATATGGCACACCACTTAAGATTGTTTGTTTGTCCATCAAGCACAGATGTGGCTGTAGTAGCCTAGTAGGGTTAGGATAAGTACTTTTTTTAGGACAAATAAAGTGGAGAGATGAATTCACTGGTACAGACTCACACTCACTTGCAGCCGGCGAATAAGCCCGATACTACTACTAGTAGTAAAAATTAAGAGATGATGGAAATCAAACTGGCACTCCTGCTGGACTGGTGTGAATGAATGAAGCAAGTAAAATCGCACCCACCACGTCCCTGGAACTGTATGTATGTATGTATGTAAACAAAAAAAGCGGGAGGAAACAAAGAGGATATAAATAAATAGATAAATCACAACAAGTCGGGCGCGACATCCAATTGCTTCAATCGATCTAATAAGGCCGGGTCATCTCATTATCATGGCAAACCCCGAACCCCGACGACGAGGGGAGGGGATCCCCACCCGATCTCACAGTTGATTAGGGAAGAGAAGGGAAGGAACGGGGATCGGAGAGGAGGCGCGCGTACCAGCGAGGAGGGAGGGGACGGGGCGGTTGCTTGCTCTCAGGTGGAGTCGCGGTCGCGGAGGTCGGGGGGAGAGGGAGACGGAGCCACGGAGGTGGGGTGGGGAAAGCAAACCAAATCCAAGCGGGCGTTGCGTGCGGAGACGTTTTCTTTCCTTTCCCAGTTCCCCTACCCCACACCCGGACGGCGGAACCTTGCAACCTTGGGCTGGGCTGGGCTGGGGTTGGGCCCATTGGTTTTCCGGATTGAGGCCGAACAATACCAACAACCGCTGGCGGGCAGTTCTTGCTTTTGCTCTACCTTTGCACAACCGTTTTTCCAGATAGGTCTTGATAATTTTTTTTTTCTATATAAAAGCCGTTTTTTAGCTTTCCATCACAGGCACAATTTCCTAATTGGAGCAGGGTGGGTGAAGCTGAAAATATTAGCACCAAACTTTTTTTTAGAAAAAAATAGTTTCCTTCGTTAGTAAAGCTGCTTTATGAACTGAATAGAAAAAATTGCTTAACATCGAAGCTGAGCTGTATTAAACAGGTCCGATCTCGATTTTCTAATGGAAAAAAAATACGTGCCTTCCTCCTCCGCCGTCGTTGCTTGTCATCATTGCCGAAGATGGACCCAAACAAAGGGCCAGGCTGCTTAGCTCTGGTATGCTTTGAGCCAGAGAACTGGACGATGAGGCTAGCTTTGTGGCGAGGAACAAGAATGGAGAAGAACATTTGGTATGCTTTTTTTTAAACTACATTTGTTATGCTTCCGAAGCAATTACGGCCTACCAGAGCGCAATTGGACATTTCGACAAGGTGGCACATTGTTATATAGCTGTCCACGACGGAGCTTGTGACTCTTTTGCTCGAATGTAAGTACAGTCGTATGAAATGCATCTCACATCTGGCGATTCGCAGAGTGGAGTTTAATACAGGTAGTGCCTTCTTGATTAAAAAGAGCGATTACAGCATGAGCAATGGCTGGATGAGCTGATCAAAATTTGCTATATACAGAACGGTGCCGTTCGCCTGGCTGGTTTCCAGACCAGATGCTGGTTTTTCTGGCTTGATGAGCTTAACAAAATTTACTACAATGGAGAGGAACGTACCTGTGTTTTGGCTTCTTTTTTAAGTGCGAGCGGGGCCAACATTAAAAAATACATAAGTGGGGCTCATACCATTAAATAAATCCATGATTCTCATAGCTCGCCTCCTTCCTCCAGCGACTGTGAGCGCCCCCCTCCGCTTCCTCCTCTCCGGATCTAATGGAGCCGTCGTCGCTGCCCCGTGTAAGCTGCCTGGAGCCTGCAGCTGCCGCCGCCCCTTCTGGGGCGGGGGATAGCTCCTCGAGCCCCAAAAGCTCCTCCAACTTCCTCTCGGCGGCGGGACCAGGAGCAGCAACGGCAAGAGACGGTGAGAGAGAGTGCGTGGTTTTATTTCTCGGGGCCTGGTTCGATAGATGGGAGCAGCTCCTTCGTCGAGTCAGCCTCAGTGTGAGCAGGTCCGATCCTTGCATTAAATGTATCGGAACGGCATCAAACCGCACACCGCGGACGCTCTTAGCAACTCTTAATCCTCGAACAGGCTGAGAATGGCGAATAATTTATGCCCAGACCGTGACATCAAGAAACCAAGGGCAACAAATCCAAGCTGATCGCTCAAACGTTTATCATCAAAAAAAAACTGCTGTTAAACCAGCAACACAGCATCAGGTCCTCACAGCTGCTACAGTTGCAGCTAAACCAGCATCACTGCAGCAGGTCCATCCACACAGTAGAATAGTAGATGCTATATAAAACCCTCATACTTCAAAGTTTATTTCACCGCGATACAACATAGCATCTTTGGTAGGCAAGACAAGCACCGATTCCGCTCTAAGAGGTAGCCTTCTGCTTCTTGGGCATCCTGTAGCCACCCACAACACAGGCATGGTCACGCTCGTAGGGCTCCAAGGTCACCTGCTCGGCAGGCTTGAACTGATCCGCCTTGAGCTTCTCCACTTCAGCAGCAAACACGGCCTCAGCGGGCAGGGTGGAGTCAATACAATTCGCCTGAGCAAAATATTTTGTTCTTGTTTAGATCAATGCAGACCATGATTATCTATCTAAAACAGATGATACAGAATTAACATGAGAAAAAACAACTCCTGGTTGTGTAGCTGCAAAGTACCTTAATTGAAATGACAAAGTGGCCACCATTCTTCAAAAAGTATGAAGCATTAAGGGCTAAGATCCTAGCCTGCAGGATAACACAATCACACAATGTTTAAAGGCAACATATCATGTGCAAACCAACCAACCTATGCAAACTTAGAAACTATTAATCAAGACCACTGATGCTGATCCAATGGATGGGGTGAGGGGGCTTAAGCAAAAAAAAAAGGCCGACGGGTGGGGGGCTTAAGCGCAAAAAAATCCCCTCACCCCATCCATTGGATCAGCATCATGTTTAAAAGCTGTAAACCACGTGTTACAATTTCCCTTCCCCCAACGGAAAGGATTGCCTCACATTGCAAAAATTCTAGTGTATGTGTATGAATACGAAGCTAAGAGAAATCGTATGTATACAAGTGTATAACCATGGATCCCCAGATTCGTTCAAACTGCATATTGAACAGCACCAGACAATGCACAGTTGCATGACCAAATCAACGTAGTGCTGCCAATGTTACTGTAAGTAGTATTATAAACCCATCAAGCAACTGTTCTAAACTACAATGGTCCAAACGGGGCAAAGGCAGGTGATTCCTAAATATCATATTCGCAGTTGGAATCGTATAAATTGAGAATGAAACTTATGATCAATAACAAATGTGTGAAAAACAAAAACAATTCAAAGATTCTAACATAGAAGGGCATTACCGGCTCCAAATAATGAATCCAAGTTGACAAACATAGCAAATAAGATTATCAAGAAACATGTATCAATAATCAATAAAAAGTAATATGTGCTATAGCATGAATTCTGAACCATAAAAAAGGCTGGATAGTCAAATGTGACATAATCAAGAAAGCAAACAGGAGAAACGGAAATGCAAAAAGAAAATGGAAATAGCAAAAAAAAGTAATAAAGATAAAAAGTTTGGCATTGAGCACAACAGGCATCAGAAACTCGAATCTGCATCATCCAATTGATGTCCTGAAGGGGAATCCGAGTATGCTCATCATTTGCTAAGCCCAATATTGCCAAATCAGAATCAAGAGAACATAAAGGAAGGGAAGTAAACAACACTCAATTCAACAATGTGACAGTCCAGTGATTCAGACACCTGGCCACAAGGAAATGATAGGAATACCTGGTCTGGCTGTGCAACATCGGAGAAGATAACATCAACCATGCCAACCAGCATCCGGTACCTTGCCGGGTGCCTGGCATCCTCGATAATGGGGATCACATTGGTCCTCTTCTTTGCCATGTTGACAAGGTCTCTTCCACTCCTGTGAGAGAACTCAACAGCATAGACCAGTCCATCCTGCAACAGCATCCAAATTCTTAAGACAACAGACTAAACAAAGCCAAGAATCAGTAAGAGACTTTTGTGATAGAGATAGAGAGCTCACCGGTCCTACAATATCAGACACATGCGAAACAGTTGTGCCAGAAGCAGCACCAAGATACAGCACCCGAGTACCAGGAGCCTAAACACATTAACAAATTGTCAGCTATAACATCACCACAGATTCTACTTACAAGAAAGCAAATAGAACTTTTGCACATTCAAGATAAGCAAATCAACTTACAATCCAGATGTTGTCAATGCCACCAAGCACAGCAGCAGCCAACTTGGAACGGAAGGGGTTCCAAAGCCTGTATTCAACCTTTGTTCCATCGTCATTCTACAATGCCCAAACAATCAAACAGTAGAAATAAATCAGTCCTACAACCGAATCCCAATGGATGAGTTTAAGAAACTACGGCATTACAATTATTCAGACCAGTTCTTTATCCTAGAAATGGAAAGGGAAACTAAACAATCTACATATCATTTGGGCATGAGGGCATCAGAAACTCGAATTTGCATCATCCATTTAGATGTCCTGAAGGGGAATCCGAGTAAGATCATCATTTACAGTACAGAGCTCCAGACCCAGAATGTTGTCGCAAGATAACAAGAGCATACATGGAGTGTCCAGTACTTAGTTATATCCAAATTATTGTGGTACAGAATCTCAACACAATAAATTTTAAATTTCGGCTTCTACATAAGTCCACATAACGTACTTGGATGAACAAATAACACGAAAACAGAAGAGTTGACCTTGACAACATACAGAATTATTGAAAACGCAGCAGTCGACTATGTAAAACAGGTCAGCTCATTCATAGTACACAAGCAATATCTAGCTCATTCGTAGAACACACAAGCAATATCTATCCAATAATAAAAGGAAAAAATAGGAAGGGGAAAGCGAACCTGAACAGAGACACGCTTCTCTGCGTAGACAGACTCTCCCGGGACCATGTTCTTGGTGCAGAGCGCATCCTCCTTGGACTTGGAGATGAAGACACCGGCGTGCTTGTGCGGCACCACGACGGCCTTACTCCCACCTTTCATGCCACCACCGCGGCCGCCCCTGCCACCGCCACCGCCTCTACCACCGCCAAACCCCCGGCCACCGCCACCCCCACGGCCGCCGCCATCGAACCTGCCTCCCCTCCCGCCCCTGCCACCACCACCGCCTCTACCACCGCCAAACCCCCGGCCACCGCCGCCCCCACGGCCGCCGCCATCGAACCTGCCTCCCCTCCCGCCGCGCCCGCCTATAGGATTTAACGAAGGAATAAGTCTTAGTCCGGCTGCGGCAATGCATGGAAAAACAAGGATGGGGGTTATGGTTAGTTACCTCTAGCCGGTGGCCTCATGGTGCTGAGCCAACGAAGAGCTTGTAGCCGCCGCCGCCGCCGCCGGGGAGCGAGGGTTTAGGGTTTTGGTGGGGATTAGGGTAGGCTGGGGAGATGAGCGGGGAGGATTTTATAGAGGAGAACTAGGGTTTGTGTCTGATCAGGACCGTTGGAACGGTAGATTCTGAATGGACGGTCAGATGGCGCAGCGTGGGAATAAAAATTTGTTAATAAATATTCTGATAAGAAATAAAATACACAAGTCAGGATGGCCGAGTGGTCTAAGGCGTCAGACTCAAGTTCTGATCCTCTAACGAGGGCGTGGGTTCAAATCCCACTTCTGACATTTCTTTTTTTCTCCCCTTTCCTACCTCTCTTACATGATTTTTTCCATTTTTCTTTCTTCCTCTTTTTTTTTCTCCATTAGATGTTTCTACTACTTTTTTTTTTATTTTAACTTTTTTTTCCTCCCCTTTACTACTTCATTTATGATCATTAGATGTTTCTTACTTCCCTTATTTTAATTTTTTTCTCCCCTTTTACTTCACATAATTATCTTTTTTCGCCCCTTTCCTATCTCTCTTAGGCCTTATTTGAATGCGTATATATTCATCTAAATCTACATGTGTTGAAGTGTATTGGAGTGGAATCGAACTAAATTACATTCTATTCCACTCCAACACATATGGATTAAGATGGATACACATACATTCAAACAAGGCCTTAAATGATTTTTTTCTCCATTAGATGTTTCTACTTGTCTTACATGATTTTTAAACTTATTTGAGAATAACTTTCTCTTTTTTCCCTCCCCTTTTCTACCTCTCTTAAAGTACATTTTTTTTCTCTCTATTAGATTACCAGTGTGCTGCTCTTCTTCTCAGCTTCTTTTAAAAGATTCTTCTTCTGAGTCCAGGTCATCACTCCCAAATGAAAATGAAGAATCGTCATGAACTCATTGCACGTTACCTGTACAATGGTTAGGCTCTTATCGGTCGTTTGGTCGTTTATTTGCCGGCGTGTATTCCAGGATGGACCGCGAAGCGGTGGCGCCTAGACCGCTCTTCAAGATCCTATGGCGAGAGCTTTGATGCGGTCCATACCAGACGAGTGGCGTCTTCAATTAAGGAGACGGATCGGGTTTGGGGCGGATATCCGTGGGTTTTCGGGTTTCATGGGTTCGATCCTGGGGATGGTGGGCGAGCGCCGAAAACCAATGGTGGTTTCGGGTTTGGTTTTTCACCGTGGATACAATGGGTCGAAATAAATCATTGGAATTAAAACCATTTGTTTACTTAGATTATTGAATTTATTTAAAGTTGACTCATGAAAATATTTATTATTTGTTGCCTCTTGTTTAATGTGAATATGTGTATATATATCCGCTGGGTTTCGGGTATCCATTCGGGTTTTATCTCATTCGGGTTTGGGTATCCATGGGTTTGATTTTTTTTTCCACCCGAATCGGTTTTCGGGGCGGATTCGGGTTTCGATTTCGGGTTTTGGTTTTGGGTGCACGGAGACTCCACCCGATCCGAACCCGACCCGTTGCCATCCTTATCTTCAATTCTTTTTTCCATTGTAGGTTTCGCTTGCAGAGAGACCCATCTCTCTCCCTTTAAGCGCCTCTGTAGGAGCCAGTGCACTGTACGTGCCCTAAGGCGCGTCCAATGTTGACCTTTGCCAATTCCTTGTTCATGCATGACGACGACGCTTGTGTTCTCACTCACTACGGAGCTTGTCAAAGTCTTATATTCTTGTTATAGTGAAAAAGGTCTTATATTGCCATTTATCTGACAAATCGTCGTGGAAAAAAAATCTAACAAATAAAATCAAGAACAATCACACGGACTCGCTCATAACGATTTTAGTTGGTCCCGCCATCCATAACTTTGTTTTGTGTAGCTTGCTGGTCGCTATTCCGCTTTTATTTCTCATTGGCAAACCCTTTTTTTTATACCATGTGTCACCGGTTTCTGTATCAATGTCAGGAAAGCACCGCTGCATAGATCATTTCTTTCTGTTCGTCATGCAAAAGATAGCATTAGACCAATGCGACGTCCTCTTACATGTTGCTGCTACCCATTCTTCTCGATTTGATTTGTGGGTTTTCTTTCTCCTTCCCCATGCCCCGCAGCCTATGTTCCAATTTTTTTTAGATAAGGGAACAAATTCCCGGCATCTACCTGCCCATGTCTCTATTAGCTATTGTTTTTTTATCCATCATCATTGTCAGGTCAGGCTAATCACCTAGACAGCAACGAAGTGGACGTGCATTTCCCACGAGAAGGCAGTGCATTTCCCACGACAACTTGAATGAATAAATTTCACACAAATCGGTTCAATTTTGCAAGAAAACAAAAACGGATGAATGTCAAAATTTCCAGCTTTCCTATCAAGGTCTAGGTTGTCTTTAAGGTAATGCTGTAGCTGATAATAATCAATTAGGTGTTGTATAAGATAGATAGATAGATGGATAAAAAGTGTGTATTTCACAATTCACTTTCACGCTAATAAGTTCGCTGGTGACGAGTATAGCTACGCTACGCTAATCCTATTGCCTGAAATTCCCTTGCTAACAAGCACGAGAAGCAATCCAAAATTGTCGTCCTCCAGTACTGGCGTACGTCTTTGGCCCTTTCTTCCGTTTCATTCTGAATTGTTTCCCTTGTTACTCGAGAGCAGCAGCCCTGCAAACTACTTCAGTCTAGCAATCCGAACCGAGACGATGGACGGGGGAGAAATTTACAATGCAAGCAGCAGCAATGTCTTTTGCTGGATCTTCGTCAGATAACCGCGTCGTCCTGATCAGAATCAGAGCTAGGAAGCTTTTCATGGTGGCCGTGGCCGCCCCATATTCTGACTCTCTCCAACGCCAGCGACGCCTGAAACCAGCACACACAAAGCCACCTGGCCGATTATATATTCTTTCTTCTTCTCCTCTGCTTGCAGTCACACAAAAAAAAAAACAGATTGGTTGTCACCTACCTCTGCTTTCCAGTCGGTCGTCCAGACTATGTAGCTGAGGATGGCTGTCTGCAACGCTGTCCCGCAAAGCATGCCCGCCCAGATGCCCTGCAACCAACGATACAATGCAGACGAATTCAGCCAGCAGGCGAAGAGGATCGACCACCATTGATGCATGCAGAAGCAGAATTGCAGATGCACGGCTCAGTAGTCAGTACCTTGACCCCGAATCTGAAGAGGTAGCCGAAGATGAAGCCGAGCGGGAGGCCGAAGGCGTAGTAGCAGCCGAGGTTGATGTAGGCGACGACGGCCTGCCAGCCGCCGCCCACGGCGACGCCCGAGATGACGGGCTGGACGCTGTTGAGCACCATGGTGACGGCCAGCAGGTAGGCGATGCTGGACACGGCCTTCTGCAGGTGCCTATCGCCGGTGAAGATGGCCGGGAACTGCTCCCGCGTCGCAAGCACGAGCACCATGGCCAGCAGCCCGAACGCCAGCGACTGCGCCAGCACCACCATCACCGCGTACATGCTCGCACGGGGCCGCCCGGACCCGAGCTCGTTGGACACGCGCACGCTGCATGGACCATCCATGGATGGCAATTAATGGCTGTTGAGTTTCTTTCTGAAATGAAATTTGTGTTAATTACCTGATGGCCGCGCTGAGACCGATGAACAGCATCCCCTCCCACCCGTTGATGTTCATGCTGCTCGATGGATCCATCCATGGTGCAATCCAAATTTATTATCAATTGATTGAGATGGAAATTAAAGATGGATGAGTAACGGTGCGACGAACCAGATGGCTATGGAGTCGACGGCGATCTCGGCGTCGTCGAGGTGTCCGGTGAGCACGACGAGCAACATCATGTACCACATCTCGAGGCAGAGCATGACGGCGGATGCGAGCGAGAGCTTGACGAAGGCCCAGAGGTCGGTGAAGGCGGCCCTGGACAGCCCCGTCCACCCGTCCCGGCACCATCCCACGACGTAGGCCACCTGCGCGAGCGAGGTGAGCCATGACGACACGTCGTAGGCGAGCGCGGCCCCGGCGACGCCCCATCCGAGCACGGACACGAACAGCGCGAGGAGCGCGACGTGCGCGAGCAGCGCGGCGAGCCCGATCCACGCCAGCACGCCCACCTTGCTCTGCGCCTGCAGGAACTTCTGCGTGGGGAAGTTGACGGCGAGCGCGAACATCTGCGGGATGATGCCGCGCGTGAACGTCCCCGCGGCGGCGGCGATGCCTTCGTCCTGCCCCAGCAGCCGCAGCACGGGCGCCGCGTACACGTACAGCGGCGTGAGCAGCGCGGCGGAGGCGGCGAGCACGATCCACGACCGCTGCATGTAGACGCCCAGCATGGCCACCTGGCCCGCCCCGAACGCCTGCCCGCACAGCGTCTCCAGCGCGCTGCCCATCCCGAGGAGGAAGCCGAAGGAGAAGTTGGACACGACGGAGAGGCCGATGGCCACCGCGGACAGCTCGCGGTTGCCGATGTGGCCCGCGAAGATCTGCGTCGTCGAGTTGGTGCCGTACAGGCAGATGATGTTGAAGGCGATGGGCGCGCCGATCGCCCACAGCCGCCGGGACTCCTCCACAAACAGCGCCCACGCGGCGCGCGGGGACCGCACCGCCGGCGCGTCCCGTGTCGAGCAGGTGGTGGCGCAGACGAGCGCGCCGGCCTCGTCGTCGTCGTCGCACACCGCTACCACCATGTCGGGCGGTGGGTCCTTGGGGGCGGGGCCGGTGGTGGCGGGGGCAATGCCGCCAGGATGTCGCGGGCTGCGCCTGGCGTGGGGGCTGCTGGTGTGGGCGCCTCCCGTGCGCGCCACCACCGCCGGCGCGTCCCGTGCGTTGGTGGCGACGAGCGCGCCGACCTCGTCCTCGCACACCGCTACCACCATGTCGGCGGCGGGAGTCGGCGGCGGGTCTTTGGGAGTGGGGGTGCCGGGGGAAATGCCAGGATGGCACGGGCTGCTGGTGCAGAGCAGGCGCTCCGTGTAGCTCATGGCGGAGGGTGCGGGATGGTGAGCTGAGGGTGGAGGGGCGCCGCGCCGCGCCGGTGGGCGGTGGGCGGTGGTGCTGCCACGCCCGCTCACTCCCGTTTGCCTTTCTTAGCGTCTTTGCTTTTCTTAGCCTCTATAAAACCTGAATGCATGCGTGCGTGAATCTGAATGGATATACGGCGATCGAGAGAAGAATCCAATCTAATCCGAATATCCGATCGATCGATCTCTCAGTTCGTTACATTACGGCGGCCGACGTCGTCGTCTTTGCAACCGCGTGATCCCATGAAAAGAGGGATTTTTGCATTACTGTTACAGATCCAAGAGATGCATGGTTCGTTGCCTGGATTATTTTTTGCCTTTGCTGTTATGCTGCATGGGTACTATACAGAGTTAGAAACGCAAGACGTGTTACATTTTGAACTGAATTTGCATTCTAAAACACCATCTTTTTATGTCTTGTTTGGATGCACATATATTCGTCTCAATCCATATATGTTGAAGTGGATTGAAGTGGAATTAAACTAAATTACATTACAATCCACTCCAGCACATGTAGATTGAAGTGAATACACATGCATCCAACATAAGGCCTTAGGGTGAACAAGTTGAGCGTGAATAACATTCCCGTGCCACATATCACCAACAACTTCTTTTATCAAATGGCACACCATTTTTTCGAAACAAATTAGACAGGAGATATGAAACACAAGAATCAGCTCAGATTGGACACAACAATAATGTCCATTAAGATCCGGCTAAGTACATGATAGCTCTTGGCAACCTAGCCGCCTCATCGAGTTAGCGATAAGTATCATTTGGATCCTCCAATAGCCATCAGAAAGCCTCCTTACACCAGAATAGCCACCACCAAGCAGGGCCACCCGCCACCACAACACAGATGTCACTTTAGAAACGCGCTTCTGCTGGCCACCTCTTCCACTCCAGCGTCCTTGCTAACTTCACAGTCACCGCTGGTGCGGGGCCCACCAGACCGTCGTCCTCTGAGTACCGACTAGAAGCCATGCCATGTTTCACAATAGGGGTACCCGCATATCGACTAGTAAATTTATAGTCATGCATAGGACTTCACAATGTTCACGTGGCTCAAATACTCAGGATTATACTGCTTCAGGCAACATTCCATGCGTCCAATTTGGTGGTGCTCAATCAAGTTTCTGAGCATGGCGTTTGCAGTAGGTGTTACAAACGGGGGAGAAAGAAATACAGAGGAGTCTAAAAACGAGAGAGAGAGAGAGAGTAAGAGTAAGCAGAGGTATCGGCGTCTCTTATGTAGTATGGAAGAAGAGGCCCAAGCTACCTCCTATATTGTTGTGGGAGCAGTGTTCAGATAGGGAGAGAGGGCCTTCCATGTGGCGTGGGTCGCGGGGAGTAATGACGCATGCTGCTGCATGGCATGCTCCTTTTGTGGGAGCTCATGCTCTCATGCTATAAAGGACATCAGGTGGTACGGGAGTATAAATCTGTGTCTCCTGTCCTACCCCTTAGATTCACTATGTATAAAACGTTAGTCTACTTGTCGGCCGGGAAATCCTGCGATGCAACCCGAAGCAGGACCACAAGACCTGTTGCGCACATGGAAGTTGTTGTCCGACCCCATGGACAATAGCATGCAGCCGGTCTGGCCAACACTGGCATTGTAAGTTCGCCCGTGTGCGCCGCTCCACAGTCAGCTCGCCCTCGCCCTCACAACTATACACTCACCCCCATAAGTGGATGCACATACACGCACACTATCGTTACGAGGACGGAGGACCTCCAAAGAACTAAGCTGGACTTTAAGATTGATGAAGTAATCGTAGACGTCTCAATGTCGATGAACACGCCGTTTATCACTAAAATAATAACACCGTTAAATAAAATCCTAAAACAAATTACAAAAAAATACAAGTACCCATATTAAATCGAGGGCTTGGACCTACGTGGACTAGTTCCACCGTTAGGATCTATCCTCCGTGTAAAAAAGAATTTAAGATTTGGCACAAGCCAAGAGAAAATAATATCAACATCCATCTTCAAATATGTTTATTATAAGTTTGGTACAGCTCAACTTTACTACTGAATCAGTTTTTAAGCTTCTGTTTCATAAAGCAACTTCACTAGTAAAGTTAAAGCTGATTCGAAAAATATTTAGTAAAACAGCTTTTAGGGAAGACAATAGAGAGAAAGCTAGGAGAAACTAGTATTTTCAGCTTCACCTCGGTTCTTATGCTATGTTTGGAGCTGAAAAAACAATTTTAGAGAGAAGCTGTTTCATTTGGACCTATTCGGCAGAACAAGCTGAAAACAGCTTTGCGAAGACGGGACCATTTGGTTTACGGCAAACATGAGGGGAAGAGGTTGCGCACAGGAGGTTCCCAACCGAGGGAGTACTCCTTGTCATGGGAATAAACTAGTGTGGGTAACGATTAACGACGATATAAAATTATTTTTTATATAACTTAAGTTTGTTTACTTTATTGAAAAATAAGAATTATATCTTTTTAAGACAAAGATAGTACAAATTTGTAAAGTGGGAAGAGCACGTAACTTTTATCTCCCCTCCTATTTGCATGTGATTTATGTCTTGTTTGAGTCTTATGGTCTAATGTTTAGTGGAAATGCCGCTGCGCTTCCTAGGCCTACGCGCAGAGATTGAAAGGTCCTTGTTGGTTTTGGTAATTGAGTGACAACCTAGGTGGACTAATTGTGTTTATGTGAGATACACAGGTGATTAGTCCACAGGTACATGTGTATGAGCAACATATGCCATGGAGGTGAAAATGGCTTGGAGATGTTGCAAAGCTCACACATGTGATGATGAAGGAGCTTAATCAAGACATGAGACATGACATTAAGTCATGTGATCAAGGTGGAGAAGATCAAGACAAGACTTGGCTTGATGGACCGGTTGTAAGCGTGAAGGGCAAGTCAAAGACTTTGGAGTGATGGACAGCGTTGAAGCTTGAGCAAGACTTGGCGCCGATGGGACGATAGCAACGGTGAAGAGCAAGTAGAGTCAAGATCGATGAACCAATATGATCATGTGATGATATGAAGTGGATCATATCATTGTTGATCGTGTTGGTGCATGTGTTGCATCGATATTGAAGGAGATGGAATGGAATGCGCAAGGCAAAGGTATAACCTAGGACATTTTATTTCACCGGTCATAGGTGTGTAGAGAAGTTTATAACCGGGTTTAGTATAGATGGCCGTACTATCAAGAGGGGCAAACTTGTTTGCATATCGGTCATCTAGTGCCACTCGAGTGATCTAACTTTGCATTGTCGCTAGGATCGAGTGGCGTGGCAAGTTGAGTGGCTAACATCATTTGGGAAATAATTGTGAAAATGCTAACACACATACACATGGTGGTGTACACTTGGTGGTGTTGGCACATTTACACTTGGTGGATTCGGCGCTTTTGGGAAAATAGAATGCCTATTTTCTATTGCGCCGGATGCAAGTTCTTGTGGTTAGCACATTGGAGCAAGGGTGATGAAGTTAGAAGTGAAAACGAAAGTTAGTCGCGAAGATCTTTGGCGTCGATCAATCGACCGACGCCGGATTTGAATGCAGAAGCTGACATGCAAATAAGGGCATCAGCTGGCGGCGACGTTCGGTCGGTGCGTCTGTCGGAGGTGTGTGGACGTCAAGGCTTGATTATGTGATCGGAATGACCGGCCGCGTCCGAGGGTCAATTTTCTCTGAAACGACCGGACGCTAGGGGTTCAGCGTCCGGTCGGTTGAAAAACTAGCGTTGGCAAGAACTGGTAGCGGACGACCGACGCCGAGGTCCGGCGTCCGGTCAACACGACCGAGCGTCCGGTCGGCCCGACCGATGCCGATGAAGGGTATCGGCTAGTGTAGCCCTTGGGGCTATAAATAGAAGTGGCCCTCATGGAGCCGAGCACCTCAAGGGACTTAGTGTCCATGCTTGTGAGTGCTTGGGAGCCCTCCATCACACATATACTTGATAGTGATCATTCGATTGTGTGAGTGAGCGATTCTAAAATTGCATCGTGAGGTTGCATCGAGTGGCACTAGGTGGTCGTGTTGCAAGCCCGTGGTGCTTGTTACTCTTGGAGGTTGCCACCTCCTAGATGGCTTGGTGGTGGTCTCCGTCGAAGCCCGCAAGAAGCTTGTGCGGCGCTCCGGAGAAGTGCTTGTGAGGGGTACTTGTGCTCGCCTTCAATGGGAGTCGCGAAAAGCAACTTTAGTAAAGCGTGTCATTGAGCTACCCTCACTCAAGGGGTAGGTTCTTTGTGCCCGACGTGCGGGCTTAGCGGGTGATGCTAATTAGCCAGCGAACCACCAAGTGAGCGGTCGACACAATGGGGACTAGCGTGTTGGCAAACACGTGAACCTTGGGAGAAAAATCATCGTGTCAACCTTGTTCTTCCTGTTGGTTTGCATCCCCATTACACAAGCTTGCAATTACATATATATATATATATCTTAAGCTTGTGTAGTTGCTCTTGTAATTAGATAGCTTGTGTAGCTAGCTAATTACCTTCTTGCTTGTGTAGCATAGAAGTAGCTCCCTTGCGTGGCTAATTTGGTTTTAGTAACCTTGTTAGTCACATTGCTTAGTTTGTGTAGCTAAGTATTTGCGCTCTCTAATTAGGCGTTGGTTGCCTTGTTATTGAGCATTGCTAGTGAGCTTAGTTAGCTTTGTGCTTTTGCTTACTAGCATGTGTAGGAGCTCCCTTGTTACTTAAAGTACTAGTGGCATAGGTTTGTGTGACATTGCTCCTAGAATTGTTTAGTAGAGCTCTAGCTAGCCCGGCACCTTAATTGCTTTATTAGTATCTTTGCAAGGTGCTAGTGAACATATATAGAGGGGTGTAGTCTTGGCTAGACCGATTGTTTTAATTCCGCATTTATATCGGTTAGCCGACGCGATTAATTTTAGAAAAGACTATTCACCCCTCCTCTAGTCCGCCATCTCGACCCTTTCACCAGCCCAACAGGCCTGCTCCCATCTACAGTCGCGGGCAACGTATGGGACGGCGTGGGCACGCTGTTGGGGTGCTCGCTCACAAGCCCGACACGCTAAGGGTGCTCGCTCGATCGTTGAGCGGGTACCGTCCGACCCTAGCGCCTCGGATTGGACGTCCGGGTGCTAGCAGGTCCGAAAGTTTAGTCGTCTAAAGTTAAAAGTTAAACTTTAGAGACCGTTTTAGCTCACCATGTGGTCTAACGAATCTAAACTTTAGACCATATGTCTAGAGCTTTAAAAGTAGTGTAAATTTTAATGGCGAAACTTAGATCATGGGATCAAACAAATCCCTTAGACGCGGTAAACAAGGAGCATGAATGAGAGAAAAAAAAAGATCCAGTGGAATGCCTATGCATGTGCATGCACGCTGCATGCGTGATGCGTGTATCATTCCACCATAAGGCAGGCCACCGACGTGCCTCTGTACATGCATGGGCTCGCCATGGTACGTGCTGCTGCGTCATGGCTGCCGCCACCGCCACCGCCACCACAACCGCCGTCGGCATGCCCTGTTCCTGACTTCCTGTCCCGTGTGGCGCCCATGTCATGTAACTTGGACCCACCAGTCAGCGTCATTCCCCACCCCCGCCGGCCGCCGGCCATGTGCGTTGCATGCATGCATCTGCGTGGACGCGACGAGCATCGGAACTCGCGCCCTCCTGCCCGTTCCACCTCCACTCCTTGGACTACTCTACTCCACTGGCCGCTCGATCTTCTGCTTGCTATCAGCATGTTCGGGAGGCCGCATCGTATCGTGGATTATTTACTGCTGGCTGGTTTGATGTGAGAGAAAAATATTGTTTCCGGTTGGAAATTTACGATCGTTTATGAGCAAACAGGCTGGTCGGCATGCAATGGAAGTAACCGCCGGTCGGCATGCAATGCGACGCAGCTTGTCCTTCGGTCATCCATGCAGAGCCGTAGAGGTATGCTTGAGCCGCCGACACGACATCGTCGGAGGACGGAGGTTGAGCACCACACCCCACCAGCCCACCTATAGTATATATAATTATATATACCCCGGGCGCCTCAAACAGCAGGAGCCATCTATGTAGCAGCCGGCCGGCCGCCGGCGAGCTGCTCGATCGATCATCTGGTAGGAGTATATACTGATTAATTACCTAGCTATCGCACAAGTACGCGGTGAGATGACAATGGAGCAGGCGGCGCCGCTGCTCGTCAAGAGGCGGAGCGGCAGCGCGGCGGTGCAGGGCGGCGACGAGGGGGCGCCCAGGACGTACGCGGAGGCCTGGGAGGCGTTCCTCCGGGAGGCGGAGCGGCTGTGGGTGATGGCGGCCTTCAACATCCTCTGCCTCTACGGCATCAACTCCGACACGCAGCTCTTCGCGGGCCGCCTGGGCAACCTGGAGCTGTCGGCGGCCGCCGTGGGCCTCTCCGTCGTCTCCACCTTCTCCTTCGGCTTCCTCCTCGGGATGGGCAGCGCGCTGGAGACGCTGTGCGGGCAGGCGTACGGCGCGGGGCAGCTGGACCTGCTGGGCGTCTACGCGCAGCGGTCGTGCGTCATCCTCGCCGCGTCCGCGCTCCTGCTGTCGCCGCTCTACCTCCTGGCGGGGCCCGTGCTGCGCGCGCTGGGGCAGGACCAGGCGGTGGCGGTGGCGGCGGGGGACTTCACGCTGCGCACGCTCCCGCAGCTCTTCTCGCTGCCGCTGGCGTTCCCGACGCAGAAACTCCTGCGGGCGCAGGGCGAGGTCGGGGCGCTCGCGTGGATCGGCGCAGCCGCGCTGGCGGCGCACGTCGCCATGCTCGCGCTCTTCGTCCCCGTCCTCGGGTGGGGACTCTCCGGGGCCGCAGCCGCCTACGACGTCACGTCCTGGCTCGTCGCGCTCGCGCAGGTGGCGTACGTGACGCGACGCTGCAGGGGAAGAGGGTGGGACGGCCTCTCGTGGGACGCGTTCCGGGGGCTATGGCCATTCGCCAGGCTCTCCCTCGCCTCCGCCGTCATGCTCTGCCTCGAGGTCTGGTACATGACGGTGCTCGCCGTCCTCACTGGACGCCTCGACGACGCAGAGATCGCCGTCGGATCCGTGTCCATATGGTACGGCGCTCGACATCTCTTTCAGTTCGTTCGTTCTATATATGATATGATCATCACCATCGCCATGCATGATCGATCTCAGCATGAACCTGAACGGTTGGGAGGCGATGCTGTTCATCGGGCTGAACGCAGCCATCAGCGTGCGCGTGTCCAACGAGCTGGGCTCCGGCCGGCCGCGCGCCGCCAAGCACGCGGTGGCGGCGGTGGTGGCGCAGTCGCTGGCCATGGGGCTGCTGGCCATGGCGCTGGTGCTGGCGTACCGCAACAGCTTCGCGGTGCTCTTCACGGGCGACCGCGACATGCAGGCAGCCGTGGGGAAGGTGGCGCACCTGCTGGCGGCCACCATGGTGCTCAACAGCGTGCAGCCGGTGATCTCCGGGGTGGTCATCGGCGGCGGCTGGCAGGCGCTCGTGGCCTACATCAACCTCGGCTGCTACTACGCCTTCGGCCTGCCCCTCGGGTTCTGCCTCGGCTACCTCCTCCGGCTTGGCGCTCAGGGGATCTGGGCCGGCATGTTGTGCGGCACTGGCTGCAGACGGCCATCCTGCTGCTCGTCATCTGGAGGACGGACTGGGAAGCCGAGGTGAGTGTGAGCCTCCCAAGTGTTGTCCATGGTGATGATCGGTGAGCTCAAGTGAATCGGCCGAGTGAATCACGCTGACTGATGTCTTTGCAGTCGCGGACTGGCGAAGGAACGGATCGGTAGGTGGAGCGGGAATGCCGCCATGTCGTCAGGCAGCAGCAGGGGAAACCGGCTGACAGAGACCTCAAGGACAAGGAGGCCTTGGCTATGCGAGTGTGACATGCCACACAAGCAGAGCAAGGGACTCGGCCGTCGGAACAAAAATTCGGTCTTTGCCGGATGCAAAGCGCATCCGAGGCCCACCCTTCCGCTTGGCCGGTCGCGGCGCGTGAGGCGCAGGGAAATCTGACGGTCGCGCGCTCAGGAAGCTCCTAGCGGCTCGAACGGCTCGCTTGCTCGGCTCCTCGGCGCATCTGCATGCATGGTTTCGGCATCGCTGTTTGCATGCATCGCGAGGCGAGGGAGTTGAATAGGCCTCCACGGGCCAAGGACCTGCATGCAGACATCTTTGCCGTGCCTTGCCTACGTGGTGTGATTGGCCCAAAGATCACGTAGTGTTTAGTACAGATATGGTAGCTACGGTCAAGCATGACCAATAATGGAGACTGAAATTTAAAAGATAAAAGAGGGTTCAACGCAAACAAAAATCATATGGCGCCCTCACGGTTAAAAGATTAAATTCATTATTACACCATAATAAAATCTAGGGCAAATAATAAAATCCCGCATGCAAAGTGTAAACTTTAATGACTTAGCACAGTTACATGTTTTCATGATTGGATCCTCCAATGAAATGTAATTTCCTAACTCGCCGATCGCAATGTGGCGCCTTGATCAACTCCAAGTAACAAACTCAGTATATCCTCCTTGTATATATGGGGCGTACATGGTAGAAGAATTCCCAATCATATTAAAGTGTGGCATTGTCGCAGATTACCATATCCACCTTGGATCAGCGGGAGCAGAGACGATAGAAGAATTAAGATCCTGTGTCATATTAAATGTATGTATAAGTAAATAAATTGTGAAAAGGGTATAATTAGTCTCAATCATGTCTTATGACTAATTGCTTTGGATCGGCACCTCCATCTCCATTTTCTCGCAGCAGATTTGGATCCTTTCTGCAGATGACAAAACATGAACATAAAAATTTTATTATAGAAGCAACCATCGGGAAGAAAAAACATCTTGAATGAGTAGGATCACTACCTTTCTTCTTAGCACTTTTCTTCTTTGACTTCACTTTGTCTTCTTTTCAACCACATTTTTGAACCGTGTATTCTTTGGGCCTTTTACCACGAGGAACTCTAAAAGATATTACACCATTCAATGAGCCTCGTGTCACATTCATTCGGAATTAGAGGAACCTCATTTGATTCTTCTTGCATCTTGCTAAGAGAAGTATCCGCTTGTTTGGTCCAACTTCTCTATGGCTTTCGAAAATCATCAAGAAGCTCTCTTGACCTTTGAACACTTCAATGCAATAGTTGTAGCTTTTAGAGAGATAAGTGCAGCACGTGCTTTCAAATCTTCCTCCTCACTTCCTTGTTTGTCGATATAAAATCCCCTTTTGGCATATTTTGTCCATCTGTTTAGAATATATTGCGATGGCAAACTATACACTCCATTTATATTGAAGACTCTAAGGGCATGCTTGCACAATATACCTATACGACATGGATACCATTTTCAGTAAATTGTATAAAAAATTATATTACAAATTGAAATGCATATACGTACCTATGGCTTCAAACTTTCGCAAGAACATGTAATGGTAGAATCTTCTTTGTTGAACACTACTTTGTTGCTCCACGATCGGATTGCATGTATGTGACAAAGAATGTCAAGTTGGTCCCTTCAGTTTGTAGCAATTTTTGAGACAATGATAATTGTTTTTAAATTCATCCTCAAACTCGTAATAAATCCTTCTTGTGTATGATTCGCTGTGCGGTCTTCAAAGCATAGGTAAATCTGTGGTGTAAGTAACCACATCCTTTCGGCGTGAATTAAAGTCTTCATCCAACTCGTTTTCACGAAGACTAAGTAAAACCTTCTCACATTCTACAAGGAGTTCCGAAAGACCGAGTTTCCTACGAAATCTTTTCTTAAAAACATTGTTCATGCCTTCACTCCTTTGAGTCGAGGTCATATCCACTGTAAAAGCATCACGATACACAGCTGCCCACTTTGCCCTCAAATCATATAGGTTTCTCATCCAAGAGTTATCCTCTAGTTTATATTCAGATAACAACTCATTCCACTTCTCGATGAAGTAAGCCTCCGATCTATCTTCATACACACATCTCTTAAAATCAGTAAGAAACTTGTTATCGACTTGTGAATTACATGCAAGAGATGTTTAGCGACATTTAAGTAAATGTGCCACAAACAAAAGCGATGGCTTGTATTTGGGAATACATAAGCAATTGCTCCAACCATGGCAGCGTCTTGATCGTGTGAAAATTGTCCTTGGATGCTTGCCTGACATTGCTTTTAGGAAGGTTTCAAAGAGCCAAACAAATGATTCAATAGTTTCATTAAATATCAATGCAGCCCCAAAGATTATCATCTGCTTGTGATGGTTTGTTCCAAGGATTGGAGCAAAAGGCATCTCAAACTTATTAGTCTGAAAACGAAAGTGTCAAATGACACATCATCACCAAAGCATTTGTAGTCCATAATAGGTGACCATTTGCCCGAAAAAATTTCCTATCCGACCATCATCTTATCTACCGAACGGCATAAAAAATGTAGGATCTCAGAATCGCTTGTTTCTCGGTATTTGACCGGTGTCACGTACATCATTGGCTTCTAAGTACTTTTTTCTGCGCTTCGCGGCCAATCTCATTATTGCAATCCATTTTTGCGAAACAGCACTTTGTGGGCTCCTCCATAAAATCGCTTCATGAACTCATACACAAATTTGGCTTCATCCCGGCTTCAGTATCGGCCAATTAGCATCTTATTCGCGCTTGGTGACACGCCGTTGGGATCTCAACTTATGCAACTTATACGGACTAGCAAGATAATGATTATGTTCGATTACAATCTTTTTGCCTTTGTCCAAATCCCTCTCTGCCGACACTAAACCTGAACACGAGCATCACAACCCGTCCTTGTAGTGTCTTTTTGATGACTCGGTTTCTTCGATGTCCTTAGCTAATGCAAACTATATATTTCGAGATATACTACCATCCACTCGACGCTTTGTATTGCTCTTTCGAACACTGAACCCAACCTTACCGGCATATGTGTTATACATCTCAAAGGCTTCTTCCTCTTATTCAAAATTCATTCCAACTTTAGGAGTGATCCCAACTTTATCTCGCCTTTTGTTGTAAAATGAGATGATGATTAATTATTCAGTCATGTTATGCATGATGATCATACCAAAATAGATGAGTAACATGCGATGTTTACGCATTTATCGTATAAATGAACATGCGATGACCCTACCTGTGATGGCTGCTCTCTGTCGACTCCATGACCACCATCAACGATTGCATCATCCTCATGCGCATCTGAGGTTGCCTACTGTGAGCCTGTATCATGTGCTTTGTTGATTTATTTCTTCTTTGTGTTCATAGTTTGGAAGGAGCTGGAGAAGGAGAACAGGGAGTTCTTCGAGACGTACAAGAAGGATCCGCCGGGAGAAGAGTCGACGCAGAAGAATCCATCTGAGAAGAAGCCTTCCACTCCCAAGAGCTCAGAGCCTCAGACGACGACGAGCAAATGGAGGAGGAGGCGGCGGCGGCGGCGTGGTGTTCGAGCCTCGACGGCGCTGGTCCGCCGGGCCAGATGGAGGTGGCGACGGCAGCGGCCCAGATTGGAACAGGCGGCGGCGGCAGTGCGTTGCCAGAACCCAACCCCTCGGCCGCGCCTATTCCAACTCGCTGCCTCGCGATGCATGCAGCCGCGATGCCGAGCCATGCATGCAGATGCACGAGGAGCCAGGCAAGCGAGCCGTTCGGAGCCGCTAGGAGCTTCCCAGACGCGCGACCGTTAGATTTCCCTGCGCCTCCACGCGTCGACCGGGCGGAAGGGTGGGCACTGGATGCGCTTTGCATCCGGGCAGCACCGAATTTTGTTCCCGGCCGTCCCGTGCTGGCACAGTGGCACGGCCTGGTCCTCTCCCATGCTTCGTGTTCATTTTAGGCCGTGACCTCTAGACACGCGGAATGTGTAGGAACATGCATGCCACTACAACATGACAACTCTTTGCTTCGACGAAAGCATGGCCTATGGCACATCTGCACACGTCTTTGTACTGTGCTAGCCTAAGCACGGCTTAGAGTGTCTTTGCTTGTTCTCTTAGTCTGCTCCTGGCCTAGATAAACTATATTTTGTAGGTACCATTGTTTTGTGTGAAAAATTTCAATCATTTTTATAATTCATTCAAGATTAGATCAGAGGTAGCATAGTAATAAATACTATAAATTTACATCATAGCGTTGTAGATGTCCTGACGACTGACGTTCCATTTTTCGTATTGTGCTGGCCACACGAAAAATGGACCAAAATACGGGATCATTCGTGCCATCATGTCGAGATTCTAAACACGGCATGTAGTCGTGTTCATAACATGTCGTATTCTAAGCCATGCCAAAAGATCGTGCCATGACTCCATGTCCCAGCTCTAACCAAGAGCTTCCTCTATTTCTTTGTTCAATGTTCACCCCTACACTTGATCATTCATCAGATCTAGAAAGAGTGTACATGTTTATTGCCCGATAATGCGTTTGGTTAGGCACGCATTTCGGGTTGAAGCCCACTGACCCAACAATGAGTATTATTATACTCTCTCTATCAAGTAATAGAAACTTGTATCCCGATATCGAGTGTCATATACTCTCACTAGAGGCTTGACTCGGCACCGGCAGTGACCCTCATGCTATCACCGCGAGGTCTAGCCTTGACTCGGTGGTAATATCCCAGGCCTATCACTGTTGAATTAAAGAACTGATAGTGATATCCTATGTTTTGGGATTTGACAGTCGGGTTTGGATCTAGCTAGCAGTGGTCAGTCCATGGATCTGAAGCAGTCAGTGTCTTGTGCAAGGTTAGGCCCCCAAACAGTTGCAGCGACTGTGCATTAAAAAAAACAGTTGTAGCGACTGAGCACCACGCTGACACACGTGATTCACAATAGCAAAAACAAATTCATGAATGCAAATTATATATAGTAGATCACCAAAAAGAAAGACAAAGATTTTACTATTTCCGATTGCAACTGTCAGATTGTAAGTTTTTTAGCAAATTAAAGGTAGGTTGATCACACTAAATAATGGTGGATGATTGTAGTACGTACGTACATCGATCGGCAACGAGATATATTGTGTACCGTATAATAAGTCGTCGTAACAAGATTACTGGCGACAGCCGACGACAGCCGCTGAATATATACCTCCTACATATGGGGCCAGACGGAGAAGGGCAGCGGGACGTCCTTGGCGATGGAGGCGAGGCCGGCGGAGAGGCTGGCGGCCAAGGAGATGATCTTGGACCTGCGCACCTGCTCGCACAAGTGGCCGGCGCCGGCGCCGGCGCAGGCGCTGATCTGCGGGCCGTAGGCCATCGCCGCCGCGAACACCGCGCCGGTGGCGGAGTAGAGCAGCACCTGCACAGCGACGTCGGCGGCAACCAGGACGTCCCGGGGATTAATCATGGGCGGCGGCGGCGCATCCTCCTCGTCGTTGGCGTCGCCGCCCTGCTTGTTGCCGGCGACGACCTGTAGGTAGATCGCGGCCACCTCCAGGATCGTCGCTGCGATGTTGGACCCTACAAGGTATCTGCATCCAATGCAACGCAGTGGGTGCAGAGAATGAACACAAATTAACAGAAATTATATTACTCGAGGAATATATAATGCATGGAATGGGTATATATCTTACACGAAGGGCTGGTAATCCTTGAAGGTGACGGCAGTGGCGGTGCCGGCGCCGTCGTGGAGGTCGCCGTAGATGGTGCACTCGCTGGCGGTGGCCATGACGACCGCCGAGGTGAGCGCCAGCGCCAGCGTGGACAGGCGGAACAGCAGGGTCACCACCTTGGAACCATTTGGCGCCGCCGGGGGGTCGTCCATCACATGGCAGTCGGAACCGTACATGACGACGACGCACTGCACGCTGAGTCGCCGAGGCTGGGCAAATCAAGATCGATCAAGAGCAAGTTTTTGCGCTGCTGATGATGACAAAATAAAATCAGAATGATATATAGCGAGGTTTATGGGGATCATATATATGCTGCCGCGCTAATTGGAAAGTGACAAGGATATATATATATATATATAAGTATGATATGGTTATATATACTATACGATGTAAAATAAGGCAATAATTCGTATGGATATGGATGGATCCATTTACATATTTAGAACAGAAATTCGAGTACAACCTTCCCTGAGATACAGCAGGATATAACATGGGCGTGCTTTTGTAGATTATTAATCTTTAGGCTCTGTTCGGCTGGTCTATAAGCCGCTTGTGCTGATTTGTAAGGCTAATTTGTTGGGAGAGAAAAATATTGTACCATGGCTGATAAGCCGGCTTATAATGACAGCCGAACAGAGCCGAACTTCTTCATCTCTTCTCTTCTTCGTCTCTTCTCTTCTGTTGTTTCTGCTTGTATATTTTCTCTTAGGCTTGGACACAGAATGTGGTTCTTGGTACATACAGTATCATTTTATCCTCCCAACCAGTTTCACCGTTAGGGTAAAAACAAAGGATCGATAAGCCGGCCAAAGGGTCATAGCAGCTGTGATAAGCCCTAATTTATGCTCATGTCAAAAATCTATGCTGGGGATCATTTCCATCCATTCATCCATATGGCAGCCACCTGTCCCATTGTTGGTGCATTGTATATATCTCCTTTCATCAACAGATATCTTGTGTTGTGAGCAATTGTGTGGGCTTGCAAGTTTGGCAGAGTGCCTACACTCCTGAATGTGAAGATGTACTCTATTCTATCGTGGCACAATAGTCATTTTAGTTCATCAACTATTACTCGAGGCTCAATTTTATCCCAATACTTTCAAAACGGTCATTTAACTCCCCAAACTTTAGTTTTAGGCTCAATTTCATCCTACAATTACGAAGATGATCGTTTTAATCCTCAAATTTTGTATTTTGGGCTCAATTTCATCCATAAATTATCAAAGTACATTTAACTCTTATTTTCAACTCAATTTTGTCTATTCAAAAAGAAAACTTTATATTTTAGACACAATTTCATCCATAGATTATCAAAATTATAGATATGCTATCATTTCAATATATCCATGTATTCTTAAAGAATAAATAATGTTCGATGCAACTATAATTGCTCCCACAAATATCATTTAGTCGGATATATGTAAATGGTACCATTATAAGGTAACATTAAAAATAATAGCTTGAAATTATTAGTGGCCACGAAAGAGATTTTAGATGAATATTATTTTTCTATCTCCAATCGTTGGTGGCGTTGGAGCTAACCAGGTGCAATAGTGCAGCGTTCCACATAGAACATAGACAAAGTTGAGTTAAAAATAAAAGTTTAAAGATTAGAAAACACTTTGGTAGTTTATAAATGAAATTGAGCCCAAAATGCAAAGTTTGAGGACTATAACAATCATCTTCATAGTTCTAGGATGATGAAGTTGAGCCTAAAAGTAGAGTTTGAAGACTAAAACGGTCTTTTTGAAAGTTCAGGGACGAAACTGAGCCTCGAGTAATAGTTGATGGACCAAAATGGCTATTCGCCTTCTATCGTCAAAAAAAAAACTGTACTCTACTCTAGTGCTTAAATTACTGTCCTAGTTAGTTAATTAATCCCTGTATGTAACCCTCGTGCTCGGGGATTTACCTACCCTCTATCGTTTGACTCTCTCTGAGTTTTTTCCGTTGGGGGCCTTGAGTCGGAAAAAAAACAACTCATCTCTTGTGTCTATCTCCCAGTGTATGCCAAGTCGCTATATAACACACTCAAATGACTACTGCTATATAAGATCAACAAATTACTGGTGCCGAGTCTTGTCAAAAAATGAAGAATGTAAAAAATAGTCGCTCGTGTTAAGAGTAATTAAACACGATCAAGGTGTGCCTTTTATAATATAGAGAATAATCTATTATATTATCAATTATCAATGGATCTCCGTCACCGTTACGCATCCTCTAGCTAGTTGCGTCCACTCCAGTTCTACTAGCTACATCCAAGTCCAAGACAATAAGATGCATGGTCCACGCACGCATCCCCCCACCTTCAAATTAAAACCAGGTTAACCTAGTTGCCACCGTCCAAAGAAAAAATAACAGACGGACTCCAACAACAACTAGTTGTGTTTCGATCAGTCCACTACTCCATCATCTATCCTCAAATGTCTTGTATGTTAATTTTTTTTATACAGTTTGCTCATTTCTTATTACTGTCACGTGTCTATAAATTATATTCATCGTAACACAATATTACGAAAATACTAATTTCCAAGAGAGATTAGATGTTGTTTTCATACGGAGAAGTGAACGCTTCTAAAATTTGGAGTAGTGTTTTTAATCGACAATGAGCAACAAGTGGAGAGTGAAAGCCATAGCCACCGGTAATAATAAGGTTGCCATAGACAAGATAGGTATGATGGCAGTGTGAGATTACACCAAGGGAAAGAAGGGGAAGATGGAGATAGAAGAAATAATACATGCACACAACATCAAATATCATTCTTCTTGTGATATTTTAGGAGTTTGTTACAAGGGTGTGCCGCTTATATTGTGGCACCCGGTGTAGACCCTAGTAGGGTCACTTCTTAAGTTCTTAACCTTCAACCCGTTATGCGTATGGAGAAATACTTCTGAGGTTATTAGAGGAGGATTCACAAATAATTGGAAGAAGATGCTTAAATTAATTTGGTTTTTTTTGTAATTTTTCTTGTAAATGAAATAAAAATGACTATATTTGTCTTAAACGAGTATGGGACCACTAGCACGAGAATGCCGCTAGCGTGCCTCAAGCTAGTAGATGTGGGAGTGGTGGGACGATTTGATGGACTAACTTTAGAGTGGATGTATAGTGAGGAAGAAATCAATATTACGCCAATATATGTACTTCCCGTTCAAAACGTGGTCTCGGATAAACGGTTGGAAAATGTTCTAAAATCCGGTACCGTTTCCATATTTGAGGGTTCTGTTGCCATTTCCGTTTCTGAAAACTTGATAAAATCTTGAAAACGACCCTGAAAAATAGATGAATATCACTAATTCATATTTCCACTTTAATCCCTATGTCCACAATCTTTTTTTTTGGCAGCCAGGTAGGCAGGCAGCACGGTTCGTCTACCGCTCCTCTATCTAGCCCTACCATGAATTGGGTACCTGTGAAGTCAATGGCACGTTGGCATCACATCATTCGGGCCAACGATCCCAACGAAGGGCCAGTTTGGTTGTCAATTCCTTTTTTTGGTAAAAAAAGAGAAGATAAAGCGTTTCACGTTGTTATTTAGCAATGTGTAGAATCTTAATCATAGTCTAATTAGGCTTAAAAGATTAATTATCGTGATTAGGTTGTCTGCTTAAACTGTGTAATTAATTTTATTTTTATTTATATTTAATTCCTAAATATAATAAAAGATTCGACGCTTTAAAAATCTTGAAAAATTTGACATTTTGGGAGAGAACTAAACAGGGCCAACCTGGGAAGGGGAGCACAAAAAGATTTCGAGGAAACGAGGTTGACAGCCGCATCGGACTCCTCCGTCCAAGCGGCCCCGGCCCCACTGTCAGCGAACCGACTGCCTCCACGTGTCCGGCCCGGCCCCGTGGCACCTTTCCGTTCTCACGGGGGAGAGAGAAAAAAATAAAATACTACTAGTACCCTTTCCTTTTTTCCCCCGAAAAAAAGAAAAAAAGGGGGCAAAGTTCAAGTACACAGAGGAATCCCATTCCTTCCAGCCGAAGATAGCGACTGACAGGTAGGTGTCCGCGAGCAGCGAGGCCCACAGCTCGCTTGGAGGAGCTAGCCGCAGCTCGGTGGGAAAAAAGGCATCTTCTTTAGCCATTGTCCGTCTCCCTCCACTCAGGCGGGTCCGCTCTTGCAGAAAACCCCCTCCGGATCCCTGGAATCACGGACCAGGAGTCCTCTCTCTCTCCTGGGAGAGAGAGGCGGAAGAGCAGAGCAAGCACCAAGCAGCAGAGGCGACGCGACAGGGGGAGGGAGCCCAGGAGGTCTCGCGACTCCCGAGGCGATCGTCGGAGTCCCCCAGCCGTAATTCGTCCCCGGTACCGACTAATCTCCTGCTCCCGCTCCCGCTTCCGCTTCCGGTTCGATCCCGTGCTGCTGCGGGCTGCTTGCCCAGCGCTTTAATCTCGTGGTGGGCTGTTCAGGCTGGTAGTTCGAGCACACTCTTGCTTCGCTTCGCTCCCTGCCGCGCTGCGTAAAGCCTTCGCCTTGCACCGGCGCGATTGTCTCCAACACGATTGCATCTGGTTTCTCTTCTAGGTTCTGCGTAGATAGATAGATCTTTTGCGTTGGCTACTTGGCGCAGATATTTCCAACTCTTCCGACTCCAATTACGGGGTGGTTCTGGTGCTGATGAGTGAAGTCATTAGGGGTTGGCTGCCTTTGTCTGCTGACCTTGAATGAAAAGAAGGCTTCTCGTGTTAATCTGCTAGGACGCTTGATTCTTTTATTGTTGTTGTTATTGTGATTCATGGCGGATGTCCCCAATCATTGAACTGTCAAGTCTGAACGGGTTAAAATCTCATGAAAGTAATGATGCCAATCGTGCCAGCATAGCTAGGAGCCATTGCACTGTTCTGTGTGAACCAACAAATCTGGGTTGTCTACAGCCACTAGGATGTTTGTTCGTTACAAATTTGCTGAATTTTCACCGGATGTAATTCAATTTCCATGGGTTTCGGTCAAAAGTTCCTGCCTTGTATTGTATCACATCACGGGGCCGAATAGCGTCCCCACCGATTATCGTGGTTCTTACTCCTGTAAACAGGTACTATCACTGGACTGGATAGAAGTCGTTGCTAAAGTCGGCTAGGCTGCAGTTTAATCCGTGATTTTTAGAATCATCTCCATTTTAGTACTACTTGGATATTGTTGCTTGCATGTTAAGCTCTTTCTGCACCATTTTTATTTATCACAAGATTTCCAATCCTTCTTGCATCAGCATAGGGTTTCTCTTTGTAGGGATATGAACAACGGAACTTTGGTTTTTAACGAAGCTAGAGGATAGTTTGGAGTAAGCATTTCATTCAGGATACAATGGGTGCCTGCTGCTGCTGTTCATCAAGGGCGTCTGAGTCAGATGGATCACCAGTGCATATCTATGTATGTATAACCTGCTTTTTCTTACTTTTCATGTGAAAAGATTCCCTCAATTCTCAGCAAGTATTTTTGGCACCCTTACCCTTAACTGCAACGATAACCTGGTTTCTACCATGTCTCACAAATCACAATGCTAGAAGTTGAGCAGCTGTATCTGTATAGAAGTTTTGTTGCAACAGAAGGAATTATAGCTGTATCTGTATAGAAGTTTTGATGCAACAGAAGGAATTATTTTACTTGTAATGTGAATCTCCCTGTTGTTCTTATCAGTCCTTGGTAATCAGAAATATAAACCATGTCAATAATATCACAGTTGCTTTAATATACCTTATGTGATGGTCACTTACATATCCATATGCAAAAAAGGGAGAAAGAAAAGAACATGACTGAAGCTGACTCAGCACTAGCTTTGTGTTTGCATCTAATCTTTTGTGCTGCAAAATTAACTTTCCTTTTGCATTATTCAGCATCGACAAAATTCTGAGGAGCATGAACCCTTGTCTTCAGCTGTTGGTGGACCATCTCCAACTCCTGCTATAGTTGCAGTTGACACAAATCTTGATACATCCTCTCTTGACACTTACCGAGCACCACCTGCACCTTTGCCTTATGATGTTTGCTTTGCAGTTGCACAAAATCCTGGTAAAGAAAATATTTGACTAGCTGTGAGCATGATTGATGATAATTAACCTCTAATGATTACTGATTTCAAATTCATGTGCAGATTTGGAGAAGTCAGACATTAAAATCAAAACTGACGGGCAGCAGTCCCCAAAAGTGGATGAATTTGAGTCATGCGAAAAAGGTGCCCCTGAGGATAAGGCTGATGAGGAGGATGTTTGTCCAATCTGTCTTGAAGGTTTGTTTCTTATGATAATCGGAACAACAACTTTTTACATTGACATGCTAGGATTAGAGCTGAAATACCGTATTGTTGAATAGTATCTTTACCCTGTCACTTTTTAACTGGTGGAACTTGATTCACATGTACTACTGAAATGCCATACTGTTGAATAGTATCTTTACCCGGTCACTTTTTAACTTGTGGAACTTGATTCACATGTACTCACTACTTTTACTATAGTCCTGTATTCTTCTTGTTACTAGGCTTAAGAATTTTGGAATGCTAGTGGTCCTTTTAGTTGAAATATAAGTAAATTACTATTCTTAACTCTCATCTTTGAATATTCATTCAGTAGGATGAGACATGAAGTGAATTGCATTTCTGAACTAGGTAGTTAAACAACTGCTGCTGCTGTGAATTGTCTTTGATAGATGTAATATGTATTTCCATCATTTCTTAATGTATTTGCATTCTTGGCATGTATGATATGCTCTAGCAGTTCTGTAGTTGGTATATGCATATATAATGGAACCAATGCAAATGGCTTGGTACCTGTTGAAATTCTTTGTTGCCTGTTATGAATGGTGATTTGGACTGATGCATCAGTTGATGATGCCATTCTGAATTTTCCAAACCAGAAGACCACTTATAAGCTTTGTCTGCCCTTCCACCAGAATATGATGAAGAAAATCCCCGTTCAGTGACCAAATGCGACCATCATTTCCATCTCTGTTGCATACTTGAATGGATGGAGAGAAGCGAGACATGCCCAGTTTGTGACCAGGTTAGCACAGCAGTTTAATTCAGTCGGAAGACTGCTACGGCAGTACATGGATGCTTTTATATCGTAATTTCCTGTAGATACGGTTTTAGTTGAAACACGCTGCCACAGCAGAGGGGGTTATTTGCTTTTTTTTTCTTTCCTTCTAAAAGCTTGATATGTAACTGTCTCTTGCAGGTAACTCTGATAGATGAGATGTACGCATAGCATTGTTGACCATGGTGGATCCATTCTTTGTGGCCCTGCAGCGGTGGTGCCCGTTGAGTTGGCTTGACGCTAGGATTCTTTTGGTGGGGGAAGTAAAAGCAGCAACTACTCTGCCCTTTGATTTTGTTCAATTCTAGTCTGGTCTGGACGTCTGGTGGAGATGCTAGTAGGTTGAGTTTTGGTAAAAATAATTTATAAAAGAAAAAAATGACATGAAATGTGCTAGAGTTGTCTTTACCTTGGGTGGAGCCTTGCTGTTTATGAATGAGAATGACAGCAGGAGGGTTGAAGGGCGGGCCTGGTGCAAGCGGTAGAGTCTTACCGCCTGTGACCGGAAGGTCCCGGATTCGAGTCGCGGTCTCCTCGCATTGCACAGGCAAGGGTAAGGCTTACCACTAACACCATTCCTCAGACCCCGCATAGAGCGGGCTCTGCACTGGGTACGCCCTTTAATGACAGCAGGAGGGTTACAGAAAGTGCTTGTTAAAGGTGAAAACCCTGAGATTTGCTCCCTGTTCTTCCTCTTGGTTTGTTCTGAATTTGTGGTGTGCGCGTGTTCTTCCTTTTTCGATCCGGTTTCTCAGAGTGAGTCAGTGTCTGTGTGGATTATCCATCATGCGCTGGGCAAGTGACAGGGAAATGCTGATTCTAGCATCAGGTTCATCTGTACAGTCAGTCCGAAATGGTGACAGGTACAAAGCAGGTTCTAGGCTTGTAGCATATGTATGTATGGCTCCTTTGAGCAATCCAAGCTGCTCGAGCTTCTTGTATGGTACTGCACATGCATGATGCATCCCCCTCCATCCATTTTGATTAGTCCGGGGAATTTCTTCGCTTGTCCTTGCTTCTAAAGCGACGCATGGCCGTTCTGTCCGGGCTGCTATTGCTTGAATTGAAAGGCATTTTTTTCCCGGACGGATCTGTAGGAGCACTTCTATAAGAAGGAGAAGCATGCAAGCATATATACATAATATATATATACATAATATACTAGGTTCGTGCCTTTACGTTGCTACGGGACAGCTAAACTTTTATACTAAAAACACACGGATTGCATGATAAGATAACAATACCGTGAAATTAAATATCGAAGTTATAGTGACATTTAATTTAAAAGGCAAAGTTCATGAAATTAGCAGAGAGCGTGGCATCGCAGACTCTATAACTCGACTGTATAAACTTTTCTGTGATTCGGCTAAGATAATGTTTTACATCGGCAGGAAGAAATCTCTGGTATCCTTTCCGTGATGCGGCTAAGATAATGTTTTATGTCGGCAAGAAGAATTTTTCGACATCCATTTCTTTCGTACGCCAATAAAGAAAATTTGCTAAACCGTGCAATAGGGACGATGATGTTTGAGAAGGGTGTCCAAGCGAGCCCGACCCTGACACAGACACCCGCACCCGTGTCCATGTATTGTGTTTAGAATTTTATGGTAAACCATACGCTTTTGTAAGAGATATAATATACCTAACAAAAATACTAAAAATACCCGGTTTCACACGTTTATCTAGTTTATCATAAATAATGTTTATTAAACATCAACAATTGATTGGTATTGCAGAGGGTCAGATAATCTACAGGTATGTTGGAAACATGGAGCCAGTATGAGCAAACATTGAAAAGCATATAAAGCAACATAAGTAAAGAATGGAGCACACATTCTTTTCTGTAGCAGGTGGGGCTTGAATGAATCGGTACAGATACCTGATCTCTGCATTTTTCTTCTCAGATTTCAATTATAGTTCAATGTTAACAAAAGAATCTTCGGATTCAGAAACTTCTTTGGTTGCTCCTCAAATCCAGCATATGAAAATGTCTTCTTGAACACAACACCATTCACCAGAAAAGAATCTCTCTAGGTACCTTCAAGAATCTAAGATGCATACAACAGGTATTAATGTCTTATCATGAAAAATAAAATGAATACTATATTATGTGGCATGCCTAGTATGTAAAGCCTATAATCAAGGGCAAAATAAAGCAACGAACGCATCAGAGGTTTACTGGGCACCTTGACATATTTTGTAATTAACTTGATTCGCTAGGTGTTTCAATATGATTCATGTCGAAGATAACTTCGATTTTTTGACAGCCAGAGACCGTGACTGATAAGGCACACAATCACCCGTTGAGTCTTAGAGTACTGCATAAAAAAATGGTCTAGAAATTTTCATGATTTTTGCCTTCCTAATTTGCTGCGGCGGTTATGGGAATTAATTTTTGCCTTCCTGATTTCCTGCGGCTATTATGTGGATTAAGCTGATCGTATGGAGCGAGTGCGCGTTGTCTTCCTAATCTGATCGCATAGAGTGGTTTTGGTGTCGCACCTGTGGACGGAATAATTATGAATGTTTTAGTGGTAGAGAAGAGATATGAGTTTGATCCGCTAGCGGTAAGTTTTCAGCCGGTGTCGCTTTCGCTGACCACCGTGGCAGACAGAACAGGTCGTGCTACCCTCTGCCTACTGTGAGCATTACATGGATGCTAACATGACGCAGACGGCACACGCGGTTGTGAATCCGGCGTAGTATGTGTGTGTCCGTGTGCTTTGCTTCCAAAGCGAGAAGAGAGACGGAATTGTTCCAAGAAAACGACTTCGCCATGGTTGGTAGGGTGGGGTTGATCAGGCCAAAGCCAAGGCCTGCCCCAGCCATGGGCACGCCATGACGCCACGCAAATTGCAGTGGCAGGTCGCTTGCGGTTCTTTTCGGCATAAATGCCATCCTGAGCATTGGCACTGCCGCCCCGTAGTGTTGAGGCGCCGCGGCCCCTGCTGGCTGCTGCAGAGTCCGCGAGGAAGAAGGGGTCGCCAGGTCGCCACCGCCTCGTCGTCGCGCATAGCTCCCTCGCGGTCTCGCCTACCGGGACAGGTCGTTTGCCAGGTCAGGCCGCTCGTCGCCTCCCCTGCCACGCGGGCCCCGTTTAGCCCCGCCACAGCTCCGGCCTTGACCTTGGACACGGTCGCGCGCCACGACCAAAGCTTCGCCGTGGATTTTAATTATATAGCTGCGCGGGCGGCAGAGCTCGGCGCGACACGCGACCGCGTCTGCCGACCAACCACTGCGGGCCGCGGAGCATGGCCGGGCGCGACCGCCGCGGGACCCTGGCCCCGTCGTCGTCGTCGGGGTCGGGGTCGGGGTCAGGGTCGGGGAGGCGGAAGCCGGAGCACGAGCGGTGGCCGCGGAGCCCGGCGTGGTCGCGCCCGCTGTCCGACAGCGGCGGAGGCCGTGGCCGCAGAAGCAGCGCGTCCTCCTCCTCGTCCTTGGGGTCCCTGTTCCGCTCCATCGGGGTGTGGTTCAGCTCGCTCTCCACGTCGTCGTCCGCGTCCGCGTCCATGAAGCGGAGGAGCAGGGACGCCGCGCCGGTGGGTGACGCCGGGGCCAAGAAGCCGCCTTGTAAGAAAACTTCAACTCACCTCCCAGTCCGTGCCCTCCGCCATGGACGAGCAACTTGTGCCCTTAATCGTTGCCGTCCATTCTCGCTCTGCAATCAATTACGTGATGATGTTGATGGTCGTGGTCCATGGCGGCAGTGCCGGGGTACGCCGGGACGAAGACCTCTGCGCGCGGGCTGTACAGCGGCGGCGGCCACGGCAGCGGCAAGGAGCACCGGCCGTCGTTCCAGAGCTCCGTCTTCTCCATCGAGGAGATCCTCACCGCCACCAACAACTTCTCGCCGGCGCTCAAGATCGGGCAGGGCGGCTTCGGCGCCGTCTACAAGGGCGTCCTCCCCGACGGCACCGTCGTCGCCGTCAAGCGCGCCAAGCTGGTCAGTCAATCCACCAAGCTGCCTGCTGATTTCTTCAACTCTCAATCGACGGATGAAAACAATAAATTTAAATTCCGGGATGAATGATTGCAGCGGATGCAGAACCCTCACGTGGACGTGGAGTTCCGGAGCGAGATCAAGATCATGGCGCGCATCGAGCACCAGAGCCTTGTTCGCTTCTACGGGTACATGGAGTGCGGCGAGGAGCGCATCGTCGTCGTCGAGTACGTCCCCAACGGCACCCTCCGGGAGCACCTCGACAGTAAGCCACCACCAGCCATTCCTGCTCTGCTCTGCTCACCTCGCAACCAACCAACCAAACCATAAAACCAAGCAGGGTTGAACGGGCGGTTCCTGGACTTTGGGACGCGGCTCGACATTGCCATCGACGTCGCGCACGCCGTCACGTACCTGCACATGTACTCCGACCACCCCATCATCCACCGCGACATCAAGTCCTCCAACATCCTCCTCACCGACTCGCTGCGCGCCAAGGTGGCCGACTTCGGCTTCGCCCGCCTCGGCGCCGGCCTGGGCGCCGGCGCCGCCGGGGAGGCCACGCACGTCACCACCCAGGTGAAGGGCACGGCGGGGTACCTGGACCCGGAGTACCTCAAGACGTGCCAGCTCACGGACCGCAGCGACGTCTACTCCTTCGGCGTGCTCCTCGTGGAGCTCGCCTCGGCGCGCCGCCCCATCGAGACCAAGCGCGAGATGAAGGAGCGCCTCACCGCGCGCTGGGCCATGGGCAGGTTCATCGGCGGCGCCTCCGCCGACGTGCTGGACCCGCACCTCGCCCGCACGCCCGCCGCGGAACGCGCGCTGGAGATGGTGCTGGAGCTCGCGTTCCGGTGCATGGGACCCGTCCGACAGGACAGGCCCGCCATGAGCGACTGCTGCAGGGCGCTCTGGGCCATCAGGAAGACGTACCGGGACATGCTCGCCGCCGCCGCCACGCCGCAGTTCTCCGACCGAGCCACCACCGCCAGCAGCGCCGACAGCAGCGGCGACCTCTGGAGGATCTGATCATTCCAAGGTCATGAATCATGCTACTAGCTAGCTGCTAACTCATTTGGTTTGACTGACACTTAAGTTTGATGTAAATATACACTGGAACATTTTTTCTTTTGCTACATTTCTCCTCGATTGCGTTCATCTGATGCTAAGCGTTGGACTCCATAGCGGGTCTGAATCTTGACTGAAACTGACTGAAAA